TCACTGATCAAAATGTTAAATCGTGTAGGGCCAAGAACCGATCCCTGCAGGATCCTACTAGAAAGACACCTGTCCGAGAATGATTCCTCATTTACAATTACATTTTGGGACCCATTAGTTACCCAGGTATTAAGGGGCAGATTCCTAAGTGGGACATTTTCCTGCCAACTTACCTTGTGTTTTCCGAGCCCAGCACTCGGTTGGCAATGTTTGGATGAGACTGAAATGTTCCAGCCCTCACTGAGAATCTTACCTTCTCCACGGGGTGTCGGCGTTCTACAGAATCAAGCTGGAAAGGAGAAAACTCCCACAGAAGCTCCTCCTTAGCACTCAGGTGCGTGAACACAAATCCCCCAGGAGAGACGGCGAGAAGGAGGCTTGCTGCAGCAAGGCCACAGGGGTCTCTGAGGTTCCCCCTGCCCTGCCCCCCTGTACTGCATGTCTGATGTCAAGGGAGCTCTGTGAGGTCACAGCCGCCTCACCACCTTTGCCCAATCGGCTGAGTTCCTGCCCAAGGCCCTTGTGATGTCACTGCCACGCCCACCTCTCCCTCGCAGGGCTGGTGTCTGCCCCTGGCCAGCCTGTTTGGGTGTCTCAGCTGCTCCCCAAATCACCCCACTGCTCACTAGTGATTCTAGGGAACAAGCAGGAGAAACAGTAAAACAGCAGGATCTGTTCCTCCCCCCGCACACTTCATAGAGTCAGAGATGTTTAGGCCTGACGTGGCCACCATTTGATCTCCTAATCTGATCTGGATTTCACAGGCCAGGAAGTTTCACACACTTACCCCCATATTAAGCCCAATAGCTTGTGTTTCACTAAAACACGCCTCCCAGACAGACACCCAGTTGTGATGTGAGGACATCAGGAAACAGAGAATCCACCACTTCCCTTGGGAACTTGTTTGAGTGGTTAATCACTGTGATGAAGTGGCACTGTTCTTAATGGGTTCTTTGAATGCTGAGTGGGGAGTATTGGCCTGGGAAGGGTGCAGGGGAGTTTTGCTGGGGCTGTCTGCATGGGGGGAGGGAGGAGACCTGAGCATGTAACATGAGAACCCAGGAAGGGGGTTGGAGGCCAGGTGACACCTTTGCCTGGGAAACTGGACAAAGGCTGGGGGAGGAGCCGGGGGGAGGCTGAGTGGGACGGCTGGAGGGAGTTTCAGTTTGAAGCTGGCTGGGGAAATGGAGAGGAGCCCAGATGGGCTCAGGTCCCCCAGCGGGGCTCTGGCCTCCCTTCCCGCCCCCCCACCCCCCAGATGGACCAAACTAAGGGGGTCCTATTGTCTGTACCTGCAAGACCTGTCTTGGACTGTATTCCTGTCATCTAAATAAACCTTCTGCTTTACTGGCTGGCTGAGAGTCATGGTGAATCGCAGGAAGCCGGGGATGCAGGGCCTTGTGTCCCCCCACACTCCGTGACAGTCACACACACTGTTAAAAATTGGTGTCTGGCTTCTCATTTGAATGTCTCTGGCTTCAGCTGACAGCCGCTGGTTCTTGTTCTGCCTTTTGCAGCTCGATTAAAGAGCACTTTACAGCTGCTGATATAGCACGGAATCAGAGCCACCCGTCTGGTCAGAGCCCAGCGACCCCGTGGAGCTGGTGGTAGCAGGTGAGGGCCCAGCTCGGTGTCCCCCCTCCCAGTCCCACCCCCAGACGGACCCTCAGGGGAGCTGGGCGCTCAGAAACAGGCTCTTCCCTGAGGTCTGGGTCCAGCAGAGGGGAGGCCTGGCTGGGGAGCAGGGACAGAGTCACTGGGGGATTCCCAGCTGGGATAAGGAGCAGCCGCTGGAGATTTGGAGCTGAGGTGGGGAGGACCCCAAGGATTCCTGGGCAGCTGAAGTCGGGTGAGTAAGAAAACAGATGGGACAGCAGGCAGCAGCTCCCCACAGCCCGGAGCGCTCCCCGTGGAAAGGGCTGCTAGAGTTTGGAGGGAGGCTGCCGAGTCCCTGGAGAGAGACACCAGCAGCCAGCGAGGTAGCAACCGGCCCCAGAAATGAAGGGACCCAGCGAGCGGAAAGCCAGTGGATTGGGACCCTGGTGGCTGAGCTGTGTCGTCGAAATGGCACCAGGCACAGAGCTGGCAGGGAGAAAGTCCCGTTGAGAAGGGACAGAGACGGTATGGAGGACAAACTGTCTTGATTTGAGCTGGAACTCAGAACTAGGGTGACCAGATAGCAAGGGTGAAAAGTTGGGACAGGGAGTGGAGGGTTTTAGGTGTGTATATAAGACAAACCCTGAATATCGGCTTAAGCAGCAACGAACCGTCCTAAGAAATTTCCCTGCAAACTCCGGCTGTACAGAGGCTGCAATCAGAGAAGCCGCGAAGGGACCGTAGAGCGGTGGGTTCTGGCCTAGTGCCTTGGACGTCCTAACGCCAGATCCTGGTGCTCCAGGAATGTAAATTGTTGTCCATGAAGTGGGTTGAATTCAGCCAATGGTAGTTACTGTCCAGGCGAGCTCAGCAATAGTTCCCAGTGTGACCCTACCCAGCAGTTCCTGTACACCAGCGAACTCTGATTCACTTGTGATCATTCCCCACTCAACTGATTTCTCCTTCCCCAGCTGATGGAGATAAAACGCAATTGGCCTCTAGGTCCCCTTGGCCTCTCCTTGCCCTGCCCCAGCCACCCCTCCATGGGCTCCGTGCAGATGGATCTGCGCCGTTGCCCTGCTGAGGGGTGGGGGACCCCGTGTCTCTTGTGTCACTAGCCCAGCTCTCTCAGTCTTGGATTCGGGGGAAAAGCATCCAGGAGACTCTCTCCCTGCAGGCCCCTGTATCGGCCTCGTCACTGGGGCCGGTCTGCGGGGACGGGGCAAAGTGATCGTGCCGGGGTCTGTATCTCATGGTTTGTCTCCTCCTGCCTGCAGAGCCCAGCTACCCCAAACCCATCTCCCTGCACCCCAGTGAGGGGGTCGCCCCGGAGGGAGCCATGACCGTCCGGTGTGAGTGTTGGTGTCTGGGAGCAAGGTTCCTTTTGAATAAAGCTGGAGACCCGGACGCACGTCACTCAATGGACCCTGCGGGGGACGTGGCTGAGTTTCCCATTCGCAGTGTGAGGCGGAGAGACGCAGGGAGCTACAGCTGCCAATATAGCACCAAATCTGACCTGCCCGTCTAGTCAGAGCCAAGTGACCCCGTGGAACTGGTGGTAGCAGGTGAAGGGCCCGGCTCAGCATCCCCGCTCCCAGCCCCACACTGAGCCAGACCTTCAGGGGGTTTCGCCCTGGTGGGATGCTCA